TTTAATCTGACAAACTTAATTAGAAAATATATTTTAATTTATTGCATATGACTAGGTATTAAAATTTCTTGAATGTATGTAACACTTTTTTGTTCATCTCAGGTCCAGTAGGTTGATTTATGGCCGACACATTCAGGTTCATTGTATTTGACAAAAGAGGAAATCAAGCTGGTGGTTAACATCAACAGTACAGATGGTGACAGGAAGAGGGGACGAGCAGTCATAAATTTGAAGAATATATACATTTTGACAAGCTTCACAGCTATAATAATGACATAAAATGTACCACAACAACAGGACAAAATTTACTGTGACCTTTACAGGAACTTCTTTTAGAACGAGGTTGTCCTCATTTGTTTCCTGTTGCTAAAATGTTGCTACTGTTCATTTAACACATCCATTCGTCCATTTATCTTCTGTGCTGTTAAGTTCATTTGACTGATGCACCATGATAAAACAGGTTTTAGGGGAACTTGTAATTGGCTGCCTAACCAGGCTAGCCTATGGCAAAAAGAAAAAAAAAAGTCCCCCAGACGCTGATAAGGCCTATAAAAGACAGAGCGTCAGTCAGACACCAGAGGTGATCCTCATCAAGAACCACGATGGAGCATTGCTTTGTGCTCCTTTTGCTGGTTGCAGGTGAGTTTTTTTCTTCTCCAGCTACTTAGACTTAGACTTGTACTTTATTGATCCCTTGGGAAGACTCCCTCAGGAAATTGAAGTTACCAGCAGCTTACAGGCAAAAAAGTGGCCTTAGACCTCGGCTGAAAGTTGTTCGGTAGACATTCTGCTTTGTGTGTTTGATACTTGCAGCACGCTGGATGGCTGTTGTTTCTTCCTTTTCAGGTGCTGCATCAAACGCTATTGAGAAGAGGATTCTTGGGAGTAGATCCTGTGACAAGGATCGCCAGTACCATGTCCAGATAGAGTCCGCTCAGGGCGGGAAGTCCTGTGCAGGCGCTCTGCTCAATCCCCGCTGGGTCATCACAGCTTCTCACTGTGCAGAGCAGTAAGACATCCGCAGATCTCTTCTATTTGCGCTTTATTTTATTTTTTTGAATTACTGACTTTGCAGCAGTGTGTTTGATGTGACAGTTTGAGCATCCACTAATTTCACTACAATTTTGTTTTTTTTTTTTTTGCAGGACAGTCACAGTGAAGCTCGGCATAAACAATGATGTGTCCTTTTTTACAAAAACTGTCTCTTGGTTAAAAGGCAAATCCAAAAAACTCCAACAAACTATTCCGGCCAAACAGCAGCACACCTTCAAAGATGAAGAAGGAAATGCCCATGACATTATGCTCATCCAGCTGAATGAGGACATGTCAGTCAAACTTCCCACCATCAGCCTCCCTTCAGAATGCACCAAGCTAGAGCCAAGAGCAAAAGTGCAGATTGGAGGAATGGGAGCAAAGGCAAAAGGTAGGAATATTTAAAAAAAAAAAAATAGTCATAAATGAAACAATTTATTTTTAGTGAAAGGAAATGAGACATTTTTTTTGTTTTTATCAGTAAACCGGTTGGTGAGGTCAGATGTGCCACGACAGTGATCTCTGAGTGTGGAGAAAGATAAACCTGACAGAAAATACAGCAACGGTAAATCTACAATCTGTGGCTTCTCACCTGGAGTGGAGACCTGCTTTGTAAGACAACCATTTCACTGATACATATACATATTTAATACTGTAGCTTTGTTTTTTGACACTGTTCCACATGTAAAACCATCCTGCCTCTGATTTCTGTGTCTCAGGGCGATGCAGGCTCAGCTGTGGAGTACGAAGGATATCTGCAAGGAATTATTGTTAGCCAGCCTGCGGATACATGTGCTAACTCCATTGTAATGCTGGACATCTGCCAGTACATGGAGTGGATTGGCAAAACAATGAAGGAAAACTGATGAATACTTTCCAGATATTCCTTATTTAATAATTAAAATGACTATCATATTTACCTATTTCTTTGTGCTTATTAGTCAAACTATAGCCTGTAATCTTAGATAAATATTTCAAAAGTATGAGTTAAGACCATAGTAAAATACAGTACTTTTGTCCAGCTGCCCATTTTCCCATCATTCATCTCCATAAATAAAAAGATAGAACTATCATAACTTCATGCTTTGTCGGTGTGCTATGTGTCTGCTATCTGAACATTCAAGGTCTCATTTCCATAACTGAAAAACCATTATCATGTTTGAGTTTCACTTCCAGTTTTCAAACTGGAGCGTCAAACTCTTTCTAATATCCAGTGTCACATCATACAATTCATTTCCCCACATTTTTAAATACTAGCTCAGCTCAACCTACCATGGAGCAGAGCAGGATGCCTTGTCTCAATCCCAACACTATGAACACGACTTACAGGTAACGGGGAAAAGGAAAACATTCCAACACAACACCTGAGTGTTTGCAGTATAGACCTAGGGAAATCTAAAAAACAGAAGGTTTTACTTGAGCAGAGGTGTCCAACTCCAGTGTTTGAGAGTTACTGTCCTGCAACTTTTAGATGCATTCCTTCTCTGATGTTAGAAGTTCAGTCTCTCAGTTGTGAAATATGGATCATTCTGTTTATGTGCTAATAAATCTACAGGAAGCACAGGAAATCTATTTCCTTCTTTAAGAGACTATGACATTTCATTGAACACATTTGAAGGCCTGGCACTATCTGGACTAAATTTAGAGCATGTCCATGTTGCTAAAAATTAGAAGATTTGACAATGTGTTGACACGTGTAATGGTTACCCCATACTAGCTGAGAGCTCAGTTATGTGCATACCTTTGTTGGGTTTCAGGGTGTGAAATACTGTCACGGGTGTCAAGAGATCAGAATGATTGCTGTAGCACACTTTAGCCAGCAGAGGGCTCTGAAGTACAGGCAACCTCTGCGGTTCGCATGATTCTCTGCAAGGCCTTAACTTTCTGCATTATAAATAGCCCGTTTATTGGTCTGTCTGATGGAGGAGGAAATAACAAGAAGGTCTCTGATTCTGATCTAACCTGTGGTTGTACAGCATTGGAGTGTTGCATGTTCTCCCTGTGGATGCTTCCACAGACCATGGTTGCTCTGTGATGGAATGGCAGCCAGTCTCTGTACCCCGCCTCTCACCCAGTGACTGCTGGAGATAAGACACCAGCCTGTGTCCTGCAAGGATAAAGACACTGAATGGAGGTTAGCTGTTTTTCATATTGATCAAAGCTTTAGTCCGATTAATGCCAAACATGTGGATTGCCTTTCAGGCGAGTTTCCCTGATAACCAGCTCAACAGATTCTCAGAGGTGAACACTGCAGACTTGGGGTTTAAGTACCTCAGGCGCAGATAGCTGGGTAAGTGTTAACCTTTCTGAGCAGGAAGTGTGTTGGGCCCTCTCAATGAAAGGAGGTAGAGCGGAGGGGTGCAGTTCCTCACATTAACATGCATCTTACTGTTACAGACCCTTATGTTATTCTTTTTTGACAGATGTAAATAGTCCCACCTGCCTCAGTTAAGGTCAGTATTAGTGAAGGTAAGGCTCAAATCTAGTTCAGATACAGTAGTGTAATCTTAAACAAGTTAATTCTCAAACTTGGATCAGTAAAAACTCAGATGTTGCTGACATTAATTATTAGATTTAGAAGGCAATTATTTTTTCCCAGCTGAGTTTGAGTAACTTTAATTTAATGAGTTGAAAATTTATTTTTGTATTTACTTATGTTGTCTTTGACCGATATTTGTGTGATGATCTGAAATGTGACAGAAAACAGTAAGTGTGATTACTTTTTCCTAGTAGTATATACATGAATGTCAAATATTAAATTATATACACCGAGTGACCAATTTCTCTTAAGCTTACTGAATAAACTTAAGAGATAGGTTAGTATACCTAACAGTATACCTAGTCCACCAAAAATATTTTTAATACAGAAATGTGACATTATGGAGAGAACTGGAGACTAACTTGACAGTTGTACAGTAAAGTCAACAGGACGGTCAGCCAAACAAGATCTTTTGAACTGAATTTAATATTCAAGGTCAATATGGGGCCATGACACTCAAGGTCAGCTCTCAAGTTACTGTAAAAATATCTCCTTTTACAAAATAGTTCCAGAAATGACACAAATGGAGCTAAAAACAGAAACTATAACCACAGTTATTTTTTTACACATTAAGAATTAGTCAGAGACTTATTGCATAGGTTACAGCTAGAAAATAAACTCCCCCACCTTATCTGTGAATGTTTTTTATGAGCAGACTAAATAATTGTTGTCCTTAATATGATTATGAAGCTAAGTTTTTCAGTGTAAAAACTCATGCTTTCATTTGACTCGACACGATCACCAACATTAAAACAGAGATTTAATAAAGATATACACACATTAATCCCAGTGTTTAGAAGATGCTTTTTAATGGGATAATGAAACAAAAACAAAACAAAAAAAAACCTCAGTAAAGTCAGAAATAGAAGACAAGACACAGCTCTATGTGATGTTACAGCTGGGTGATTTTATTATCGTTCCAACATGGACTAGGTCAGGGTGTTTGAGTCCTTCTGGTGCCAGACTGTGGGATTCAAATGATCTTGACAATAGGGAAATATTTGTGAGCGGAGAAATCAAACTCTGGCAGCACCTGGAGATACAGGAAAATAAAATTTATCACACTCCAATAAAGTACAGCTGATGCATAACAGCTAAAAACTTACTTGACAGAAAACAGACTGCTTTCTTTTTAAAAACATAAACTAGTCTACATTTTGAAATAGATCTAAGATGTTTTCATTGTAAATAAATCGTGTTACCTTTGTTTCCTTCTTGTGGCCCCCGGCTAGAAGCTTCATCACTACTATGTTGGGCTTGGCCACTTTCAGTATGCGTTTTACCTGCCATCAATAATTTATTATTTGATACTGATAGCCATAAATAATAGAGAAGAAATAAATGTGTTGTCATTCCAACATGATAATAATTGCACTCATAGATTGGCAATAGGGATTAATGTTTGATCAAAAACATTTTAAGCCACCAGGTATTTTTATTTAAAATACTTCTGATTCTTCTAGGCATCAAATTTCATTACTGTAGAAACTGAATTATTTACTGATACTTTAATATTTATCTGCTTTTAGAGCTTGCAAAAACTGAAAAATGTTCCACCATAACAGATGAACAACAGATTGACTTCCTGACCTCAGCGTCTGGGTTTGGCACACTTTCTAGGATAATCTTGGCCTGCTGGAAGTGTTTGCTGGCAGCCAGGTAAAGGTCTGCAGAACCTGGTGGAGGATTGTACTTTTTCAGATCCGACATTTCCTGGAGATGGGAAGAAAAACAAAATAAAACGGTTTGCGGTAGGATAGGCGGACTGCTGAATAGGTCACACACTGACTTTACCTTAAACTGGATGTAGTGCACAGGCGGGGGAGTAACTACACTGTTGAAGGGAGCAAAGCGATGCTCGTAGCGGACTTGTTCGCTGTCCAGCTCAAACTGGGGCTTTCGCACCTTTCCGTCCATATCCAAAGCTACCATGGTCTGACAGAAGAGAATGAGGAAGGACATGGACAAATTGAAGGGTGTCAAAAACATAATTTATTGTTTCCTACCTTGTATATGCCAGCACACATATTCTGGTATGCTTGACTCATGGTGATCTCTTTGCCAAGGGGGCGAACTGCAAAGCACAATAAAGCAGTTTCAGTGCTCTGGAGCCTCATGTCACTTCCACATGGAAACCTAATATTCCGAATCATGCTTAGGTTAGACTGAAAACTGCACCTTTCTTCTTCTTCTTGGTCTTTTTGCTGCTCCGTCCTTTCAGCTGTTCCTCCAGAATCCGCTCTTCTGCCATCTGAGAGGAGTCAGCTCTGCTTAGTGTCGACATTAGCCATGCATAGAGGAACTCTGACAAGTACCTACAACCACAAAACAAACAAAAACAAAAACAGTTGATTAGTTCATATATTTTTTTCTTTAGATATAGCCAAATTAAAAATAATACATTAGCACCGACCAGTAGATGTAATAGTATTCATGCATGCTGTAAAGCTCCAGTTCAAAACCACTCAAGAGATACTGGATCATGATTCTCAGGTTATGATACAGGATCCAGGTGCCGAGACAGGCCAAATGTTGCCGTTGAGGCTCCAATTTCATCAGTAAGCTGTGCAGTGCTGCATCCACCTTCTCAGCCTGAAGAGCACAAAAAAATGAACATCTTATAAAGCACCTAAACTCCCCAAGCTAATCTAGCTTGTGATATGCACAACAAATCACTGATATTTTGTTTAACCTTTACAATGACTGAATCTCACCTCATCCTGTAGCGTAGCAAACTCTTCAAGAATGTGGCCCAGTTTGTCTCTCTGCCGCGCTCGGTTGTGTCCGTGGATCTGGATGAGGTTGCAGAAAGGCTGCACCGGAAAACAGCAGGTTTCAGTGGAGGTGTTATGAAACCGTAGCAGTTGATATGTAATAATCACATCTCACGAGGCACAGCTCCCTGTAACCGCACTAATGATCTAAGCTAATGTTCTAAAATCCCAGGAAGTACATCAATGCACAAATTTGAATGTCTAGA